TGACTAGTAACGATGTTAGTAAGCAAATAGACAAACTAAAGCCTAATAAGTCACCTGGTCCCGATGAGATATTTGCCGGAAGTATAAAGGAATGTAAGGAAGAGCTTAGTATGCCCTTAGCAAAGTTGTTTTAACATGTCCTAAAACAGGTGTAGTACCAGAATCCTGGAGGAGATAGCGAATGTAATACCGATTTTCAAGAAGGGGATAGATCACTATCCTCTAACACCGCCTAATCAGTCTAACATCAATAGTGGGACAAAATTACTGGAAGCAATCATTTCAAACTCTATTCGAAATCACCTGGAGAAGCACAGATTGATCAATGATTCCCAGCCAGCTTCAGCGGACGTTCTTGCCTATAATCTATTAACATTCTTTTCATCAGTTTGAATCAGTGGACGAGGCACAATTATGATGTGGTATATCTCGACTTAAGCAAAGCCTTCGACAGAGTCCCACAAGGTGACATCCTTTAATGGATTAGGGCGTGGTTACAGGACAGAAACAGTGAGCATTATGACACTAAGTCCATTGGACAACGTCACAAGTGGAGTTCCCAAGGCTCAGTACTTGGACCATTATTGTTTATTATATACATAAACGACATGAATATCGGCATGGACAGCAACATAAGTAAATTTGCTCATGACACTAAAATAGGACGTGTTATCAAATCGACGAGGACTCGACAAAACTACAGGAAAGATCTAAACAAATTTTCCAATGGTCTGAAAAATGGCAGATGAAATTCAATGTCGACAAATGTAAAGTACTCAGTTATAGGAGATGTAAACAGGGAAACCAGATACCAGATGAACAACGATGCCATAGAAATCCGACTGCGAAAAGATTTAGGAGTAATGATAAGTGAACCTTAAGCCAAGTAAACAATGTGTTTTGCTCGTAACAAGGCTAATAAAGTACTTGGGTTCATCTAAAAGTGTTAGTTACAAGACTAGCGAGGTCATCCTAAAACTGTATCTTGCTTGTGGAACCACCTGGATTACGCAGTTCAGTTCTGGTCACCGTATTACAGAATGGATATAGAATCCGTAGAAAGAATTCAGAGGAGAATGACAAAGACTAATCCCGGGCATTGGAACCTTGAGTATAGAGACAGGTTAAAACATCTTAATTTGCACTCCTCGAGAGCGTGGGCGAGGGCGACCTGATAGAGGTGTATAAGTTGGAAGGCAGGGCTAAACAAAGGGGACATTACAAAGGTACTCAGGTTACTGGTATCATCATTAACTCGAATATGCTGAATAGCTTCAAACATAGGTTGGATGCTCATATGAGCAATAGGGGTTGGGTGTAAACGGGACTGCCCAGTATGGGCCAATAGGCCCGCTGCAGTTTCCTCCATTCTTATGTTCTTATGTTCAGTGAACCCAGGAAGGCGAAGGAGGACGTCCAGGTTGTTTGAGACAATCGTCCAATGATCACAGGAGTCATGTACAAGTGTTATGATGGTTCATCCAGCCCAGACAGCAGGCACATGTGTGGGGGATGACGGGCACCTTGGTAGTGTGGGATGGTTATGTCGTAGTGCCGTACATCAAGGTAGTGTGATGTAGAAGATGATATTGAGGATTGATACTACTACTACTACTACTACTGTAACTAGTGGTGCTACTTCCACTGCTGCTTCTACTACTAAAGCTAGCAATATTGATAATATTGAGAGTAATGATGGTAATATTAATGATATTAATAATAATAATATTAACGCTAATATTAACGATACTACTACTTCTAATAATAACAATAATAATAATAATAAACACTAGTTGCTAGGCTTGTATGGTGTCTGGCAATAAGCTAGAGCTAGGAAGGTCAGAAGCCAAAGTTTGAGGCTGTTAAATCTGGGTGTAGCGGGTGTGCCCTAACTCTGGTGGCCGTGTCAGGGCAGGACATTGATGCCATTAGTCTCTGCCTGTGAGATCCTGCCCGGCTGTCTCCCAACACTCGTGTGCGGTGGTGCATGTCTTCCAGAGTAGGAATTTCTGCCAGGAAAATGTCAGGAACCACAAAAAATGTATTATGGAGAGCTCTTTCCAAATCAAACCTTCACACTTTATATATTAATACTAGCTCTTGTTATATCATCAAACATACGCTTTCTTTTTCACCGATATAACCTTAGGTTCACTAATATTTAAAAGGCAGGTCAGCAGCACAATAAAAGCTTGATTATACCAACCTTGTAATAATGTGTAATGTACATGGTTTCATGTAAACGTGAGTGAGACCCGGTGAATCGTTAAGAATGTCTATAGTGTTATGTCATGTCATGTATTGCAATGTTGCACAGGAGGGCCAAATGGCAAACAAAATTAATAATCACAAAATTCCCCCTCGTACACACCCTATAGAGTTGCTCGCCGTTTGAAAATAATCAAATGCTTCTGGGTTCGGTTACTCAATAAGGCCCCAAGTATTTAAGTGCAGCTTTGGTTTAGAGTCTTGTGAAAAACATATAACTTTTTAATGGTTTTCTGGCAAAAATATAAATTTTAAATACAAAAGATAGACAAAGATTGGTTAACTTGACACTGTATTAAAACATTACTTGTAAGAGCCTAATAATGGTAACAGGTTCGTCGACTACTTCAGGTTTATAAATTTCATAGAACATTATTTAAATAAGAAAGATAATTTATTTTGAAGAATAATATCAGTGTGTTACTGCTTGACAAGTGATCATATACATGTAAAATGAACTTGTAATTAGTAGAGCATAAGCTGGGCATTGAATCACCACAAGTATAGTATTACAGTCCACGCCACTTGCAGTATAAGCCACATAAACTCGGCGGCTTTGAAATTCCTGAGAAGCAACTTCGCTGGGTGTATGCCCTCCCCCACCCGATCTCCAGAAATCCACAAATCTGGTAAGTAATCGGTGGTCAGCCAAGGTGTAAAGTCAACGCTTATCTCCGAACACGTTAATATGATTAAATAAATTTTAGAAAACGTATTTCATTTCTGTTTGTAAAACCTATCCATGCATTTGTTTTAGTTTTGAACAATGAGCGTCGAAACAGGTCACTGCTCATTTGGACTGGATATTCCGCCAATGAGCATTGACCAGAGAGGTTGACAGACGCCTACTATGCCTCGGGGCTCGCCTTCACTCAACAGTACGTCAATAAGGAGAAGGAATTTATCATCCAACAACCATGTGTGTCGCCGAAACAACTGGAGGTAGCATGCTTATAAAGTTATGTTTGCAACCTGTAATGTGGTTAATTTTAGAATACTGTATATCAAATTACTTTATGAAATCCCGCATATGTTGCAGTAAATAACAAATTATAATTTTACATGGAAGTGAGGAATATAGCAAAGTGATAAGGTCTATATTATTTTACGGAGATATGATCGGCACAAAATCTATGAAGAACAACGGAGCGGCCGAGTGAGGGTGAAGGTGTCGGGGTAGATGACTCTCCTCGGCGACGGGGATGTCACAGAGATTGAGAGACAGTGTATTTGCCGAAACATATGTTGACAACCTTAATGATTTTTTTCCCTTCTCTCCGCGAAAGGAATTTTCCCTTCCCTCCCGGCCTCACAATATTTGCTACTGCTGACAATCACAAGGTAAACTACTGCTACAAACTGACCATTCAGTAATTAATAGTTGAATTGAATTGAAAGACTGTATTTAGCAAGAAAAACACAGATACAGAGTGAATAATAATAACAATATGGCTGAGCCAGTTGAGAACCTGAGCTCTCTTTTAGACACCTGGTATATACTATACATTTATCTCAAGGAAGTATTATGTAACATTTAGTTTCATCTGGAATAGTACAATAGCATGGTGGTAATAAAAACATCTCATAATGTACAACGGTTATCACGTCAATATTTATTTATTTTATTTACTTATTATTTTTTGAGTTTATTTTATTTTTTTATATATATATAGTATATACATAAATGACAGTGATACTGAAAAACATAAATATAATGGGGGAGCAGTACAACATGGATTGTACAGTATCAAGGTTCAACAAGAGGACAGAGCTGTCAGGATTATGTCTAGTTGGCAAATATGTTTATTGCAACGGTAATTTCTGAGCTATTTACATGATAGTTTCCGATAAAACGGTTTTGATGGTACAATAAAAGCAGGTACTGTAAATATAGTAAGTGTTACAAGAAATATTAATACTTCGACAATAGATATTTTTTTAGAGATGATTTAAAGGAAGGGAGCGTAGTCTTTGCTGGGATGTGTGGGGTAAGTTGTTCCACACCTTCACACCGTGATATTTCATGGAGGTCTGGGACTGAGAGGAGCGCATGGGGGTGGTCTTAGTAGCTCCGGGTGCCTTAAGTTGTATCTCTGATTATTCCGGAACTGGAATTAATTATTGTCAAGCAAGTGATTGATAGATTTGTAAACAAAGAGGGCACAGCAGTAAGTGTTAATATCCTCGAATTTTTTAAATTTCAATATAACAAATTTTTCGTTTGTGTGATCTGTTTTTTCAAGTGGGCTGTAAATTCCACATGGTGATTAGCGATGCTCTCTGCAAGATATTTGCCAACATTAATAAAATATTCATTAAAGTGGTTGGCAATGGGGGAGGGTTCCGTTACAACTGAATCATTTATCATAAAAGCTGAGTGGGGGGGCAGAAGGCTGAGTGTTCCTGTTCTTAATAGAATTTATGACATTCCAGGTTTTCTTACTGTCGCCTGATGCTGACTGGAGCTTATTTGTATAATAGTTAAGTCTTGCATTTCTAACTGCTTGAATTACTCTATTTCTGATACTTCGGTAGGCATCACCGAAAGTTATGGGTCTTTTTGCAATTTTCCTTTGGAGTTTGTGTTTTTCTTTTATCATTATCTTAATTTCGCTTGTGATATAGAGTTTGGAAATGGATACAGTTTTCACTGACTTAGTCTCGAGGGGGAAGCAATTATCAAGGCAGGCATTGAAGATGCAAGAGAAGTTGCAGCTGTTTACGTTAGGGTTGTCAGAGGCATAGACAAGATCCCACTTAGCATTCATTAGGTTGTTTTAAAAAAGGAGCATGTTGTCGGTGCAGTAGTCTCTGTATTGTATTGGGACTCTACTAGACCTTTCAGGCCTTGTGGCTGTTTTATACATGGCAAGAATTGGGAAGTGGTCGGAGATATTGTTATAAATAATTCCACTTGCAAGATTGTTTGGAGTGTTGTTAGTCCAGATTTGATCTATCACAGTGGCAGAGGTGGCAGTTACTCCAGTGGGTTTGGTTACTGTTATAGTGTTTAAGAAGAGTTTAGAATGACAGGTAGCAAGAAGGTCTAATACTGAGGTATCGGTTTCTGATTTTAATAGAACAAGGTTGAAATCTCCTGTTATGTAGCAACGTTTCCTCTCTGAACTTATGACCGAGATAAGCTCCGAAAATTTATCAAGAAAATTCCTTACATTAGGGTGGGGTCTTCTGTAGATTACTCCTCCTAGGATATTTCGTGTGCCGTTACGTAATTCAGTGAAAACACTCTCCATGTACTACTCCTGAACCTTTAAATCATCTCTTACAGAAGTGTTATACTTGATATCGTTTTGTGAGTTTGGTCTCACAGAACCCAAGTACACCAAATTTGTGGGCAATAGAAGATAAACACTGATCAAAAAGGTATCTAGGTGAAGGGGAATACTGCTGATGTTATGGCTAATCAAGGCGAAGGAATGAGGTAGTAGGAGACTAGAGCTAAACTCTGGAGAGTCAGGAGAGTAATAGTTACAGTTCCCCCCTCAGTGGGGAGGGGGTAAACAGGTAAACTAAGAAACTCCAAACATCTTGTCTTTGAACACTTATCATGAATTAAGTTTAAGGAGATTGACTTTCTTTGGTTTGTCTGAAGCCTGTCTGAAATATTAAACCACACAATATACCAGACAGATGTGTGGAGCCTGTTGGCAGCTTTGGTTTAGTCGTGGTCTGTGTTGTTCGTCGTGAGACAACACACACGTCTTAGAAAGCGTTGACTTTCAGAATAAGAAAATAATTTTAAATGTGTTCTATAGTTATTGGTTATATTGAATACAGATTTATCTTATTTCCGTTTGTTTGTTTGTTTTAATAAGCATATAAAGCAGGATAAAAAATATAAACAAATTTTGGATACTTTTTGTCGCCAATTGTCTGACACCATTCCAAGACTTCGATGACGTAAGTGATTCGAGGATTCAGGAACAGCTTTACGATACATCAGACTCAATCATCCAAAACGAGCCATTATACGAACTAAAGTATTGGCATATAATCAAGTGCAACAGATTGCCTTATACTTTATAATCAGAACAGCTACATGTGTGGAGAAACGAATGAATAAAACACGACCAAATTCAGTCCGTTATATCACTGAAATTGAAATTGAAATACTTTATTGACCATAAAACTATTACATCAAAAGGACAGGGTAGTATACCACTCCCACCCTCACCTTTGCCATCCTCTTCTGGGGTTTACAAACAGTTATAAATGTTAATACAATAATTATTTTTACATCAATGAAATAATTAATTTTATCATGAAAACTACATTAAAAGATCAGATAAGGTAATCCTACACAAAATTAAATGTCATATTGTCATACCCAATGTGCATCCCAAGGTATTTGTAAACATCAACGTTAGTACTTTCTCCACCAACCATTGTTAGTATTACCCCTTGCTGTCTGTGTGAGAGAGAGGCTACAGTATTATACAGAATTTGTTGTCGATAGCTGCGAAAAGGCTGCCACTCATCCTTCGTGTGTTGGAAGAGATGCTGTGGTGTTCGGTCATCGCCCGTCTCCCATGACCTAACAGTGGCTCCCCATACCTTCTCGATGGGGTTGAGATCACACCATTTACTCGGCCACTCCAGGAGTTGTATGTCTGGCTGTTTGTCGAACCATCGTCTGGTGATTCCGGTTGTGTAGATGGGAGAATTATCCTGCAATATAGAAGTAAACTATAATTAGGAAAATAATAACCTGGACATTGATTTAATATATCAATTCTACTCATACTTTCTTTTGTTTGCTGGTTATGATAATTATAAAAGTCATAATCAAGAATTTATAAATACAAATGCATATTATATCCACTATAGACCATTAATTAAGAGGAACAGGATATCGTTATTCATACCTGAATGAATATTATGTTATATGTAGTGATGATTAGACAATATAATAACAGTTTAATGCTAAAAAAATATACTTTGCTGTACCGTTGTAGTGCAAAACATGGCGGAACTTACATTCACCGTTAATGAACTATTGATGGAAGAAGAAGTTTTGGGGACCGAATAGTGAGACAATGTGGAGCCTCCCGGAGGGTGGCGTCCTACCGTGGCCTAGAGGATGAGCTGCCTGGAGGTTGGCGATTCTGCTAGTGTGTATATATATATATATATATATATATATATATATATATATATATATATATATATATATATATATATATATATATATATTGTGTATGATTAATAATTAATGTTAATTTTTATGGTAATGTATCATGTTAGATGAAATATTATACTACATTAGTAACCAAGACACAACTTGAATGTTTGGTTTTGTGTTTGTTTATTTCAGTAAAGATAAATAATTAGAATATTTTTTGAGAGCCAAGAACTCTAGTGAAGAGGGTCGTCGTGTTTCAACCCGACTTTTAAACTAAATGAGTCCTGAGGGACACCGCAGTACAGTACTTTATAATATTGGAATTAGTTAATTTTACCGCCACACCGCCCCGTTAAGTACTGTACTGCGGTGTCCCTCAGGACTCATTTAGTGTAAAACTCGGGTTGAAACACGACGACCCTCTTCAAGGGAAGATGTTGTTTAATATTATGGGCGTTTGTGTCTTTTAATTTCTAAATTCATCTAAGATCTTGAGGCAAGGGAGTCAATGAAAATTATACAGTAGGGTTTTCATTCTCTCTTTAAATGTATAGATACATGCATACATAAATGAAGATTGTTATGTCAAAAATAAATGGAAAACGTAAAAAGTATCACTCATAACGT